TTTTTTTCCAGATACTTACGGATATACCCACTTTCGAAATAGATCAAATAGATCTCAAACCTGTTCTCCCCCCCCCCGACAACCCGTCCCCTTTTTTTCCCCCCCACCCTTCTCCTCCTTCGTTTTTTTTTTTTTTTTTTTTTTTTTTTTTTTTTTTTTTTTTTTTTTTTTTTTCTTGGATTTTTTAATCTTACCTTTTCTTTTTTTTTTAGCAATATTTAATCGATGACCGAATGTATGGATGTGTTGATAGATCTATGGTATCAAATCATTCACACGTTGTTATGAACCCTACTGAAGAAGTGAAACAAGTTCCTTCACCTCCAACCTCGCCTCAACCCGTTCCGCAACCCCCCGCTGAGACGTCAAAAAAACTGGTACACAAGGAAGAGTGTAAACCTGAAAAAACTGAACCAATCGGAAAAAACGAAAAATTTGTCTCTACCGAAAAAGTCGATGAAGGATTACCTATTACGATCAATCCGAAACAGAAAAATCGAATCCTTAAACGAAGAATCGCCCGTGCGATATTCGAGAAACGTTACAACCTTCCTAAACAAAGAAAGGTAATGATACAAAAATCTTTTTTTTTTTTTACTTTGCATTATCTTACATATTTTATTTATTTATTTATTTATTTTTTTTATTTATTTTTATTTTTTAAATTTTTTTTTTTTTTAGCCGTACATTCACGAATCTCGTCACGTGCATGCTATGCGCAGACCACGTGGTCCAGGAGGCCGCTTCTTGAACACCAACGACACTACAAACGCAAAACGCCAAAACTTTGACAACTTCAATCATTTTCCACGTGATCTTTCCGAATACTTTCACCATAATACTCATTTTCTTATTCCGATTGGATCGAATCCCGTATCAGACGTGAATTCTTGGGGCGTAACCACTGAATTAACAAACCTTGATAGTTCCGATACGTGCCGTATGAATGTATATTTTGACGGAAACAACGTCAACGCCCCAACTTCAGGTGTCATTAGCCCCTTTGTCACCACTTCACCGACATCTGCAACATCTCCAATTCAGGTCCAAACCGTCCAAAACGTTTATGAGGCAAATCACATTAACAACGAATATAATTTACCTCAACCGCATATGTTGCAATTAAGTTATCAACCATCGTTCGCTACCAATAACATTGGTTGGAATTTCCACAACTAAAATCGTCGAATCAAAATTTTCTTTTTTTTTTTTTTTCTTATGTAAATACTAGCAAATCTGATTTTCGAACCATTCATACATAACAAATCATCATTTCGTTTTTTTTTTTTTTCATAGACCAAAAACCAAAAAAAAATTGGCATTGTAAGTAAACTTGGCAAATCAAACAATCGGAGTTTTTTTTTTAAATGTAAATTTTTTTTCCTTAAAGAAAAATCATTATAGATTCTAAAATTTTATAGACTTTTATTCATATACACACAACATATACAACATTAAGCTTTAACTATGATAGAATTTTTTTTATTTTAAATCAAATCATGTAAATTTTTCCAAAAAAAAAAATCAAAATCTCTCATCATCTGGTTCCGCGTGTGACGTTTTTTTCTTCTACCTTAATTTGTGACCCTTATCTACCTTTTTTTTTTCTTCATTTTTTTTTCTTATCTTTCGGGTTTGGTGTTTTTTTTTTTTTCGTTTCTGGGTGCACGCCTGAAATTGGAAACCTTCATTAATTTTTTTCGATTCCCCTTTTGTACATTTAATTTTTTTCATCTATGCATTTCGAAGTTATTATGAAACATGCATTTGTGCGACGTATGCCTTTTTTTTTAAAAAAAAAAAGTAATATCGATAAAAAAAAAAAAGTATTAATAAAAGAATAATAATAATAATAAGTAATAATAATAAAAAATAATACGTATGGCTATATGAAGTTAATTATTTGATTGTCATAGCATAACAGATCCGGCCGACCGGTTTTTTAGTGAGTCATGGTTTAGGAAAATCACTTAAAATATTGGATTTTCCCAAACCATTACCCTTATAGTTAATAATTGAATCAAAAGCAACCAAAAAATGTTACAAAAAATATTCGGGTCAAATTTTTATTTTAGTAAAGCATAATTTCCGTCAAGTTTTGGCTTCAAAATCGACGGTTGCTTTTTTTTATTCGGGGTTGCTTCTAATAGATAACAAAAATCTTGGAACAACTGGAAAAATTGCTGATGACCAAATCAATAAATTGCCGAGTCAGGATCAATGAGTTACCGACATCAAGAAACTCATCGATTTTTATGACAATCAATTACTGTACGTAAAGATCCACCCAAGTATTAAAACGTATAAGTTTGCCCCTGGGAGATCTCTAAACGTATATGATTTATTATAGATTTATTATAAATTTATAAAAAAAATCTTAAGGTAATTTTAGGATTAGGTCTTAGGAATTTTTTTAGGGTGTCAACCTTTTTTCACTTAATACATCAGACACCAATTACCTAGGTCGTCTTTGAATGTTACCCCGGGAACAAGTTAGCAAAAACTCAATTATACGTATAATAAATTTTATATAGCCTAATATATCCTATATAATATCGATATATAAATAAATATGTGTAAATATTTTGTCGGCTTTTGCCACTGCGTAGTTGATTTTTTAAACTTTACCGACTATTCTGAGTAATCCGGTTTATATAAGAAATTACGTTATCTGAAAACGTAATGGTGAAACGGTTACAATAAAAATAATAAAAATCTCGTTTTTTTTTTAAACATCGGTATATATATACTTAAAATATCACATTAATTAATAATTCAATTATTGTGTATGTACATTAAATATCAAATTTAATGATGTAAATGTGTATAATGTATATATGTATATGTATATATTGTATAATAGTAATGATAAATTTTTTTCGCTTTAAATTATAATAAACTATATATCAATAAACACTTAAGGGCAGTTATATACATTAACAAATCTCATTTTAGTAATATATAGTCGGGTAATTGTTCTTTTATAACACAATATTATGCTATCCCCACCCCTAAAATGTGTCATTGCCCTAAGATCCACAATAAATTGTTCAATAAAAATAAATGATTACAATTTAAATCTATATATATTTTCTATTAAATAAGCAATAATGTTCATCCAATGTATATATAATAATGTATATTCAGTTGGAATTTACTTTCTAACTTTATTTCGCATCACTGGTATCATTCCACCCTTAGTGGGTTTAGTATACTTTCCGTTAACAGCAGGAATACTCGATGTGTTATCATTAATACTTGATTGTGTATTACTTGTTGATTCTTCATTTATTTTAGTTCTAGCGTCCAGTTTTTCTTCAACCATTTTTACCAACAAATCAGAGTATTTTTCTAAAAGATTTTGTGTGTATCCTTCGGGCAATTGCTTTAATTGTTGTGTTAATGGTTTTGACGGTCGAGGAGACGGTGGTGGTGGTGGTGGTGTTAAGGACGATGACATCCCGGATGTGATATCCGTTGATGTCATACTTTCGTGATCACCACTAACTGTACCATACAAGATCGTAGGTTCTAAATCACCCTCATCATGATATGTATCATGTCCAGGTTCAATAATTTCGGGCACGTTGATTTGGCTCTTTGTAGACTCATATACTTGATCATTTGTTTGTTCTTCATTTTCTTTAAGACTCTTATTTATATCATCCATCATCCCATTTAAACTATCAGAAATTAATTTTGCCATGCTTTCATTCTTTGAGGCGGGCGAAGATACTTTTTTGTATGCTAAAAGAGTTCGTTCCAAGATCACCGTCATAGTTACTACATCGTCCATAACACACTCTTCATTGACTTGTTCTTCTACGCTTTGTTCATTGGTCACTATATATAATAAATTCATCAAAATATTAAAAAACTTTTGAAATAAAAAATATATAATATATATTTTTTTTAACAAGTTACCATTATCATCGAGCTCATTAAAGTTTTTGTTATCTTGATATCCATTAGATATCGAAATACCAAGATCATCAACTTTTAAGTCATTATCATTGACATATTGTCCGTTGTCAGAATAATGTTTTAGGTTCATATCACTAACAGTTTCTTTAGTTGGCGTAGCTGGAGATGACGGTGTTGAATAAATTATTGACGGTTGTGGTGATTTCTTATAAGAATCTTGCCCAATGGTAGTAGAATCTGGTCCAAGAGTAGTAGAATCTTGTCCAGTGGTAGTAGAGTCTTCCCCAATAGTAGAATCTTCCTTGACGAGGGATTCATTTTCATGATTCTCTATTTCTATAGACTTCCTTTCCAAAGCCTCTAAAGCTTCCGAAACGCCACCTTCATCCTCACTTATGGCTAATTCTTGTTTACCTATAATTTTAGTCAATGCATCTATCAAACTATTACGACCACTTGAATCATTAGATTGTCGTTGACTCCCCGTATAAAATTTCATGGTCAAACTTTGCCTCTTTTTTGCTTTACTATCCAAAGTCGAATTATCTACATTAGTGTTCTGGATTTCAATTTGTAAGAAATCTTCCAACTTTTGAACATTTTCTTCGGCGCTTTCCACATCATCATCTTCATTATCATTTTCCAAGACATTAGAATCAATATCATTATCTTTTTCACTTCCAGATGATGACTTTGGACGATCACCATTAAATTCCACAACTTTGATACTTCCCACAAAACTACTTCGGCGTCCCTTAGATGATGTACTTTCATTATCATCCATCCCTTCTTCATCTTGAGATTCAACATATATAGTCTCATTATCTTCATTACAAGAATCATCTGCAATGATTTCTTCTTCTGCAGGAGAAAATATATCATCATCATCATCATCATCATCAGGGGTTGGCGTAGAGAGAATCGATGATTGGGGTAATGATAATTTCTCATTAAATGATGCAGGATTATTTGCAGGTTTTAATTCATCTTTTTCAGATTCCGTATTTAATAATGATTGGGTAGCATCCTGACGTAATTTACTTTGTGATTTTGCTCTATTCAAAGGCTTTGGAATTGAAGGTAACTTTTTTTCTACATTAAGTTGATTATTATTTTCCTGTGTTGGACTACTGGTGAGAACATTGGAAACTATATTAGTGTTATTATTTGAAGTTTTATCCTTAATACGTTTTTCGTCTTTTTCTTCTTTAAAAGCCTTTTTTGCCCAACTAGG